TGTGCACTCGAAGAAGGAAAATTATGCACTCGAAGTAAAAAAAAATACATTAACTTATATAACTTTACCAATTAGCATACGTGCGTTTTTTCCAAATTTCACTCATTCTAGACCTTTGATATGAATTTAATCAATGGTTGAGATCCCACCCTATTTTTTACTTGGGGAAGTCTTTCGCATTTGATCTCTCTCTCACACACACACTAGTTTTACATGCGCATTACGCAATTGATTTAATATCCAATTGTATTTAAATAAGTATATCAATGTAAGATTATATATGAAAAGTTTATTATAATTGGTATTAAATTAATGTTTAGTTTTTTTTTAAAAAAATAATTATTTAAATACTTATGGTAGTTGGTATGGTATTATGTAGTAGATACTATTTTTGGTTAGAACTACTGTAAGTTTTGTTAATTCGCTTTTGGATAGGTTTGTCATTGTCATTGTCTTCGTTGCTTATCCGTTATTATTTTTTATTTTTTGATAGTGTCTCATGTGCAATTGGGTTACTTTGCAAAAAGAACATATTTGGTCTACTTAGTTTTGTTACATTAAAGAAATAAATGCATATCAAGTGGCTTGTGGTTCATTGGTATTGAATTGCTTCTCTATGTGGGAGGTCTAGATTTCAAGCCTTAGTGTAGGCATAGATTGTATGGGTATTCCCCTTCCCTTTGTAGAAAAAGAAATAAATGCATGAACAATCTACATTATTTTACAGTAGACAAAATATGGTCCACACAATAATGATTGCCTAAGTTGATTCCCCTATACTTCTATTTATAAAATTGACCCCATCACTTTTTAGCCATGGATCCCGATCAAAATTTTTTTTTTATTGTATTGAAAAACTAATTGAAGATTAAAATGTCATTGTATTTAACGACATTTAAATGATTTTGTTGATGGAGAACAAAAAAATGATCATGCCACAATAATACTATAATTGAAACAAAATATTCGAAAACAACAGATAGAATTATATATATAATCTATACTAGTATTTTATATGCGATGCGCAAAAAATATATGCCCAATATTAAAACTAAATATTAAAATCTTACTTATATTAATTTTTTTAACAAATAATTGTGTGTGTGTGTGTGTATATATATATATATATATATATATATATATATATATATATATATATATATATATATATATAATTGTATAATTCATATTAATATTTTTGAGGTAAAAATTATAGAAATAATAAATTATTAAATATGGTAATATTTTAATTAAAACCTAAATGAATTCAAACTTATCATGAAAGGATGTAAGAAATAATATTATGTATGCATGTACATAGTAATAATAATGTAGAAAGATAACAGAAGTTATAACTGCAGGGATATTTTTGTCCAAAAAATTATGTAGTACAACTTTTATAGCATAAGTTACAAAAGAATTTAACTGAAAAAGGACATAAACTAGGGGTATAACCTGGATTGAAGTTTATTATGTTTTTAAATATGGAGTAACATTTTCCATATTCAAATAAAATAAATTAAAATATTACATATAATTCTTTAGTTGCATCATAACTCATAAGTCCAATATACATAGGGATGGCAATGTGCTCCGTTCCTGTTGGGGATTCCATCCCCGTAGGGGATGGGGACGGGGACGGGGACAGAAAAAAAATATCAGGGATCGGGGACGGGGACGGGGAACTTGTGAAATTCTCCGGCGGGGATGGGGATACCCCTCCCCGCCTCGCCCCGTATATATACACACACATATATATATTTACACACTATGTTTTATTAGGATTAGGAATTAGATTAGATTATTAGTTTTATTAGATTAGATATTAGGATTAGGAGGTCAGTAAGTTTTATTTGATTAGATTATTTTTTTTTTTGAAAGTTACTGGCTCTATTACATTGTAGTGTCTGTTCATATTTGATTAGATTATTAGTTTTATTAGACTTTAAAATTACCAAAGGTTAGTCAGTAAGTACTGCTTATTATTAAAAATAGTATAATGTTAATTGTTGAAGAATTATAATTACAATTTTTAAAATAAGCTTATTATTACTTATGGATTTCAATTTATTTTTTTAAAAGAAATTGTACGAATTTCACATTTTGACTATGGATTGACCGGGGATGGGGATTCCCCGTCCCCGCCAAATTTTCCGCGGGGACGGGGACGGGGGATTTTTTCAATTCTCCGCCGGGGATGGGGACGGGGACGAGGTCGGGGTAGCAGGGACGGGGATGGGGAATATACTCCCCGCCCCGTTGCCATCCCTAAGGGGGTGTTTGGTTGACATGAATTGCGTTGGAGTTGAATTGCAATTCAATGAAATGATAAACTACATTGTTTAGTTGGAGGGAATTGCAATTCCAGGAATTGCAATTCCCTCAATTTATTGAATTGCAATTCATAGGGCCCCCTATGAATTGCAATTCAATGAATTCATGCAAAGGGAAAGGGAAGGAAAATACATATTTGTCCTTGAACGTTATTATTAATATTATTACACAAAGCGTATTTTAGTCTTTATATCACTTCTCTCATTTTCATTATTCCTCTCTACCAAACAATGTAATTGCAATTCCTACTTTATTTTCACCTTATTCTTTTCCCACCGAATTACAATTCCTTTCCGCCTTAATTCCTTCCTTCCAACCAAATGCCCCCTAAATATACACGCACGCAAACATGCATCTATATATAATACTCCCACAGTTTGGGAAGAATATATAATACTCCCACAAGTTTGGTGCTTTTCCACGCACTCAATACATTAATTAGCCTTCATTTCACCATTAATCCTCCTTCCACAATGACAAATCACTCAAATATAATACTCTTCCTGCTTATTATACACCTCTTCCCCTCTCCTCCAATTTCTGCTTCCCATTTCAACGCTACCAACACCCATTCATTATTACCTGAAAGCTATTCGCAAATAGCAAATGAAGTGGCTTCTCTATTGACATGGAAGTCCAGCTTCGACCTCAAAACCCAAAAGATATTGTCATCCTGGGTTGTTGGTGGCAACCATTGCAATTGGACTGGAATAGACTGCAATGTTGATGGAAGCATTACAGCCTTAAACCTCAGTAGTTGTGGCTTACGAGGTATGCTTGAGGGTTTAAACTTTTCATTGTTGACCTCTTTACAAATCATTGATCTTTCTAGCAACTCTTTCTATGGTAATATTTCTTTTATTAAAGAAATGACCAATTTAAAAAATTTAACAACTCTATGTCTTTATAATAATCAATTCTCGGGCTACATACCTCAAGAAGTTGGCTTGTTATTATCGCTGGAAGGTTTGATATTGCTTCAAAACTCTCTCATTGGCCAAATTCCTACTTCAATTGGGAATTTGAAAAACTTAGAATTGTTGTATCTTTCTCACAACAATCTTTCAGGCAACATCCCACAAGAAATTGGATTGTTAAATTCACTTGTAGAGTTGAGTCTTTCATGTAACGCTCTCACTGGCCTAATCCCTCCAGAAATAGGGAACTTATCAATGCTGGTACATGTGAATTTAGAATTTAATACTCTCACAGGTCAAATTCCTCCGGAAATTGGAGAGATGTCAAGATTGATAAAATTAACCCTATCTCACAATCAACTCAACGGAGTCATCCCTAAAGAACTAGGAAAACTGAAATTTCTTCAAGGGCTGAAAATGTTTTCAAATAACCTTACTGGTCAAATTCCATATGAGTTCAATAATCTCACTAGTTTGAGGAAATTTGAAGTTGCCTATAACCATCTTACTGGTTCTTTGCCAGAGAATTTGTGTATTCATCAATCACTAGAAAGATTAGCTATTACAGACAACCAATTTAGTGGAAAATTTCCTAAAAGCTTGAAAAATTGTACAACCCTTTATAGAGTCAGGCTTGAAAGAAATCAGATTTACGGAGACATATCGAGAGATTTTGGGATATATCCGAACCTAAATTACATAGATTTGAGTTACAATTACTTTTATGGCCAACTGTCTTCAAATTGGGCTCTTTGTCCAAAACTTAATGCTTTAAAGATGGCGGGCAATAGAATTTCTGGAAATATCCCACTCGATCTTGGCAATGGATCTCAACTCCAGTATCTTGATCTCTCGTCAAATCAGTTGGTTGGAAGGATCCCCACAAGTTTGGGAAAGTTGAGCAAGTTATATGTGCTGAAGTTAGATAATAACAAACTTACTGGCAACATACCACTAGAAGTTGGACAACTATCTTTGCTTTCAGAGCTAAACTTAGCTTCTAATAAGTTTGTTGACTCAATTCCCCCACACATTGGAAGATGTCAACGCCTAATTACATTAAATTTGAGCAGAAATATGCTTGTGGGCAAGATTCCTCCTGATATGTTAAGCTTGAAATCCCTTGAAAATCTTGATATCAGTCACAACATGCTCTTTGCTCAGATACCACCACAAGTTGGAGGATTAACAAACTTACAGACACTGGACTTATCACACAATAATCTGTCAGGTTCCATCCCATCAAGCATTGTTCAATGTGCAGCTTTAGTTTCTGTTGATATATCTTACAATCACTTGGAAGGTCCTATCCTTAACACCAAAGCATTTTTGCAAGCACCATATTTTGCCTTAAGTAATAATAAAGGTTTATGTGGCAATCATTCTGGCATAGAGCCTTGCTCCCCGCAAAGTCAAAGTGATAGCTTGAATAGAAATTTGGTTGTAATCATATCAATAGTTTTGGGAAGTCTGTTTCTATTGACTGTGGTTATTATCATTTTTGTTATTTTTCAACAACGGACGAAAAATGCAAGGGAGGAGCAACGAGATTTTCCTAAGGATGTGTTCGCAATATGGAGCTTTGATGGAAAAATGACATATGAAAGCATAATTGAAGCTACAAGGGACTTCGACTCCAGTTATTGCATTGGTGTAGGAGGGCATGGAAGTGTGTTTAGGGCTGTGTTACCTAGTGGTCAAATTGTTGCAGTTAAGAAGTTTAATACATTAGGCCTGCAAGATGATGAAATGCGTGATATCAGAAGTTTTTCAAATGAGATAAGCACATTAACAAATTTGAGGCATCGGAATATTGTGAAGCTCTACGGCTTTTGTGCTCATAATAGACATTCATTCTTGATTTATGAGTATTTACAAGGGGGGAGTCTAGCACAAATTTTGAATAATGATGAGAAAGCATTGCAGTTGGGATGGTTGGAAAGGATAAACGTAGTTAAAGCTGTGGCTAAAGCTTTATCATACATGCATCATGATTGTTTACCTCCTATTATTCATCGGGACATATCAAGCAACAATATTTTGTTTGATTCTGAGAATGAAGCTCATGTATCTGATTTCGGGACAGCGAGATTTTTGAGTCCTGATTCGTCAAATTGGACTGCATTTGCTGGAACAATGGGATACATAGCTCCAGGTCCACACTATTATATTCTTTCTTGTTTTTCTCTGATCTTTTCCCTTTGACTTTATATATCATCTAATATATTAGGAATTTAATTATTTGCAGAGTTTGCTTACACTGCAGAGGTAAACTGCAAATGTGATGTGTATAGCTTTGGTGTGGTAACACTAGAAGTGCTTATGGGGAAACATCCCGGTGACGTTGTTACATACACTTCTTCATCCTCACTCACAGCAACTGCTGGAATGCTTCTGATGGATTTGTTGGACCCTCGACTCTCAACTCCAAAAAGACACGAAGCACAGCAACTTGTGTTGGTTGCAAAGATAGGAGTCTCTTGTATGAATTCCAATCCTCAATGTCGGCCAACTATGCAACAAGTTTCTATGATGCTATCCAAGGAAAGGGATTTCCCCAATTTTTCCCCTGAGATCACTTTATGGCAGTTGTTTGATCTTGAATTTCAGAATCCATAAATATTTACACTATTCAAGGTAAGTTCATACTAAACCATCATTTAGTATTTCAAACCTACGTTACTGCATGTAATTCCACAACACTTATTGGATTACCTAACTAATATACAGATGTAGGATGATCTTTCCTTACAAGTATACATGACATGATATTTTTGCATGTTTAGGTTGAGTGCTCAAACATTGGCTGATATGGCACAAGAAATCGTGAAAATAAATGGTTCTCATATGGCGATGTTAACAACAGTCCTTATGGTAGTGGCAAGTGGTCAGTAAGTATTATTCTAATGCATTGTTAGTAGAAATGATGATTTGTATTTGGTGGAAAACAAAAACTACTGTGCTTGGGATCAGGATTTGGATTGAAGTCTTCATTTCTACTCTTCTTAATTTACCAACACACATGCATTTAAAGATTCCTGTCCTTCTATCTTAACTTGTTAATTGGCTTGTATTGAAGGTATACGATGGATTTGTGCTTCCAGATAAAGCTTTTCTTTACTTGACAGCGGTTCTGACTAAACGGAGGACAAGAATGAATGTGAGCTGGTGCACCACGATATGACTTGAGCTTGAACATTTTATATATATTTAGTTTTCATGATAAGCATGGGGCACAAGTCCTTGACTAGAATCTATTTAAGTTATATATGGGGCTTTAGTGCTTGGCAGAAGTCTTGAATACGTGTATGCATATCACTGCTTCGTCTATTATGAGAATGCTGTCGTTGCTTTGATAATTAGGCATTTTATATGAATTGCTTTGTTTTGCATTTTATTTTGTAATTGTTAGTATCTTTTGAACTTTTCCTTTTTGATTTTAACTAACTTTAATTGGAATTTTGTTGTTTTATATTTATAGTGTCGATGGACCCTAGTGAAAGTGATGCGACCCAGCTTGCAGCTACCCAGCTGAGTGGTGAGAATGACATAGCTGGCTTTGATGATGGGGAAAATGGCTCCAGGAAAAGGTCTAGTTCAAAGGTACTTAACTTTTTATTCCTGAAGTGAAAGTTTTGTATATTTATTTAGATTAGATGGCTATGCCATCAAATTGGCAAAAAAAAAAACTCTTTGATATTATGCTACAGAGCCATTTTGATTGAAGTTAGGTACATGTAAGCAATGTTGAATATATGCTTTGGATTTTTTTTGTAGCATGCAAGTATGGAACCAATGATTTACTCAATTATTTGTACTTGAATGTGTACATGATGGGATGGAGGTGGTTGAAATAACAATGGATATCCATATTACATGTGAGGAGCTTGATCAAAATCTGTTTTCTATGCTTGTCACAATGCGAGGGAAGAGAGATTTTTCATATATGGTACAATTGGTACTTATCATACGAACAACTATATGGATAGAAATTCACCAATGGATGGCATGCTTTTTAGCGATCTGTTAGATTCTCGAGTGCCAACTCCAAAAAGATACAACGCACAACAATTTGTGTTGGTTGTAAAGATAGCAGTTTCTTGTATCAATCCTAATCCACAATGTAGACCAAGTATGGAACAAGTTTCTATGCTACTATCCAAGGAAAGAGATTTTCCCAATTTTTCCCCTGAGATCACATTAAGCCAGTTGTTTGGTCTTGAGTTTCAGACTGCATGAATTTTTATGCTATTCAAGGTATGTTCGTTTGTACTAAACCATCATTTTTTAAAACCTTTATTACATGTAATTCTAAATTCACTCAAATCACCAACGGACGTAACTTGGTTGCTGATATATTTGTTATCTCATGCCTACCTACCTGCCAATTGATCCCTATCTATCACATGGAGGCTGGGCAGATTGAATCTGAGCTGGAGCACCACCATATGGTTTGTGCTTGAACATTTTATATTGACTAGTCTAATTAAGCATGTGCAAATTAAATTCTTTGACTAGCTAGCTAGCATCTATTATATTTGAGTTATATATGGGGCTTAGCTTTCTACATAACTTATTGCATTGGTGTAGGAGGGCATGGAAGTGTGTTTAGGGCCGAGTTACCTACCGGCTAGAATATTGTGGCCGTGAACAAGTTTCATACATTAGGCATGCAAGATGATGAAATGTGGCATGATCTCAGAAGTTTTTCAAATGAGATAAGCACACTTGAAGAAATGATTATGGGAAAACATCCTGGTGACCTCATTATATGCTTTTCTTCATCCTCAATCTCAACAATGGATGTCATGCTTTTTAGTGATCTATTAGATCTTCGAGTGCCAACTCAAAAAAGATACAACGCACAACAACTCGTGTTGGTTGCAAAGATAGCAGTTTCTTGTATGAATCCCAATCCACAATGTAGGCCAACAATGGAACAAGTTTTTATGCTACTATCCAAGGAAAGGGATTTTCCCAATTTTCCCCTGAGATCACATTAAGCCAGTTGTTAGGTCTTGAGTTTCAAACTACATGAATTTTTATGCCATTCAAGGTAAGTTTGTACTATACTAAACCATCATTTTTTTAACCTTTATATATATTTGTAGTTACGTACTTGAGTATTCCAATCAACTTAACTACATGTAATTGTAAATCATCAACCGATACTTATTCTAACTTGGTTGTTGATATATTTGTTTCCTACGCTTTAGATACTACTCGCAAGCATCAATTTAAGAGCTTTCTACAATTTTTATTTGGTCTAAAACTATGGACATTTACTAGAAATTGCAGTTTGGAACAAGGAATTAGGAAATCTTGAAACGTCTTGTTGTGAACAAATTGTTATGAAGTGCAGTTAATGAAGGTGGTAAGACCCCACCCAGTCATGTTAGGTTGATTATAAATCCTAATCTTACATGAGTTATATCTTGAGTTCTGTTCGAGGTTTTGCTCATCTCTTGCATGTCTATAATTTTTCATATTTTCACTGATAACATTTATGCATTTACAGACAATGTACAGCTGCAAGATGTATGTATCCTTCCCCGCGGGCTCCTTTCAAGCTTGTTGCGGATACATCCATGCCCGCCTGGTTCCATATTTGTTCCGATCCTCAAAGAAATATAAAATGGGACTTTGATGTTCGACACCATTTTTCAATTATAATTGCCATATACAAATTATTTCGTTGCAAATCGAATTCATATATAATGGACTGAACACGAAGCTCATGTATCAGATTTTGGGACAGCAAGATTTTTGAGCCTTGATTCATCAAATTGGACTGCAATTGCTGGAACCATTGGATATAACGCTCCAGGTGCACTCTTTTTCCTTGTTATTCTCTTTTCTTTTGACCTTAGATCAGCTCTAATATATTGGGCATTTATTTGTAGAGTGAGCTTACACTATGGAGGTAAACAACAAATGTGATGTGTATATATAGCTTTGGAATGGTAACACTAGAAGTGATTATGGGGAAACATCCTGATGACTTCATTACATGCATTTCTTCATCCTCATCCTCGGCAACTGATGCCTGATGAAATGCTTTTGAGGGATCTTTTAGACCCTCGACTCTCAACTCCAAAAGGACACGACACAACAATTGGTGTTGGTTGCAATGATAGCAATGTTATGTTCTGAATTCTAATCCACAATATAATGTCGTCCAACTATTGCAAGAAGTTTCACTGTTGCTATCAAAGGAAAGGGATTTTACAAATATTTTACCAGAGATCACAATAGTTCAAGTGGTGTTCTAAGCAACACCTTCATTTTTTGTATGTGCTCATTTTTCTAATAAAAATCAGTCCTACATAGGGAGATGGAGAATGTTAATTGCACAAAAATCCTAAACATCAACAACTAAGCTGAGAATCAAAGTGTACGTACCTTATACACTCCAAATTAAAGTGAAGCTCACGTCTAACCCTCTATATAAGTTGCTTCCAAATGTGCTTCATTTTTCTGGACCTTCCCAGGCCAATATAATTGCTGGTGTGGAACACTGGTTTTTTTTTTTTTTTTTTTTTTTTTTTTTTTTTTTTTTTTTTTTTTTATCTTCTTACAACCCTTTTGATGGTGCAAATTAATGATACCACATTTTTGATGCATCATCAGTAAGAAAACTTGTCTCTAAAGTCTAAATGTTATTGTACTGTACTCCAATGCCCCAATGGGGTGTACCAATTCAAGGTGTTTCTCTAAAAAACTAACCATAACAAGTTAGGGATATTGTTATTTTTAGGGTACATAGTGTACATAGTGATCTATCATATTTGGTTCCTTTTTTTTTTTTAGGGATATTGTTGCATGTCATTATTAAACTTTTAGAAATTAGTAACTACTATTCCTGGTGTTTGGTTAGGACTTGTGCACCTTACTATGAGTTTTGATACTCATTATCATGTTAATTTTTTTAGTTTTGTTATTAATTAAAAACTAAAAAGATCATTGTCCATGTATTAAAATATGAAATTTAATATATATATATATATATATATATATATATATATATATATATATATATATATATGTGTGTGTGTGTGTGTGTGTGTGTGTGTGTGTGTGTGTGTGTGTGTGTGTGTGTGTGTGTGTGTGTGTTATACATTTTTATATATTTATTTACCAAATGATTCTAAAACTAGCTAATTCATATGGAAGACTTGTCTCTAAGTCTTTTTATTAGTAACAAATGTCCAAAACATTACTTTCTTGTTCATCAACTAGCTTATGCTAGAAATCAAAATTTTAGCATCCAGAGTGAAGCTCACGCCTTAAGTTATATCAACCTCTCCAATAATGATATACTTACAAATTACAGTTGCTTCTTGGAGTTTTCAATTGCTACTATACAGGCATAGCGCCAAAGACTTTATGAGTCTTCTTACCCCTTTGACGGTGCAAAATAATTATATTCAAAATTTGACTCATTTAAATTATTGATTAGTGTTAAAATATTAGATGGATGTTTATCACACATATAATAGAATAAATGCAATACTTATTAAATTTAAATAAAATGTTTTGCTTGTTAAGATTTTATCGATCTGAAATTAAATATTTAATTTTATATCTTGCTCTAGATATATATATGAATCCATACATATTAGGAAGTTTGGTGCAGAGAGTAAAAAATGGAATCAACATTATCTCCTCTAAATTATATGTTTATAACACTTAACATCAGCAACTAGGCTGTGAATTAAAGTGTTATATATACTCAGCTCCAAAGTGAAACTCACGTTTATATAAGTTGCTTTCAAATGTACTGTACATAACTTTTTTGGACCTCCCAATTATACACTTATTAGTTCTTATTATAACCCATTTGACGGTGCAACACAAGATGCAAATTAGAAGACTTAAAGGCCAAAGACCTTCTTATATATACTCCACAACAGCACCAATTGCAACATGCTGCCAAAGACTTGAGCCTTCTAACACCACTTGATGACAAATTAGTTATAACCACAATTTGATTCATTTAAATTGATAAGGGTTAAATTAGTCACTTTTTTTTTTTTGAAACAAAACGCAAACCAACTTCATTAACAGCTTAACAAACCAGAAATACAGGCTGGTGGGATGAATTCCCACGTTCCAGAGACAGAAGGAGAACCGGTTGCCCGAGCTAACTCGTGAGCCACGCGATTCGCTGTTCTCTTGACATGACATACATTTACGTTACCTATGTCATTTGCAATAGCACGACATTGCTTGACTACCACACCTACGTACGAATAGTCCGTACTACTAGAATTGAAAGCGTTACAAAAATTAATGCAATCTGACTCAAGGATGATGTTATCAAAATGTGAAGCTTTAAGCCACGTCAACGCCTCCTTAGCCGCAATTGCTTCCACCATTAGCGGGTCCCGGCTGCCCACTATTCGGCCGCTTCTCACTGCCATGAACCGGCCATCGTGGTCACGAATAATAGCACCATAGCCTGCTCCATCTGAAAACGTTGCAGCATCAACGTTGCATTTCAACATGTCACGCGATGGTGGCTCCCAGTTGACCGCATGCACGATACAAGTTCCCCGTTGAGGTCCTTTGTAATACGCAGCCACCCAACAAGCTGTTAGACTCGCCACTTGCGACTGCAAAAACGTAGTAGATGGCCAGATGTTACGCCAAACCACATCATTACGTGTAGTCCATAATACCCAGAAGATAGCGGCTGCTTCTATCTGTTCCCAATCCGTTCCCGCACCTTCTCCTCAATGTAACGAAAAGTATTAACTTTATTCCGACCCAGAACCGATGGTAGACCCAGGTACCGGCCTAAGTCAGTTGCAACATTTACGCCCAGACAATCAGATACCCAAATTTTCACCTCGCCCGATGTGTTTAAGCTGAACACAACATTGGACTTATCGAAATTGATAAGTTGCCCAGAAGCATCACAGTACAGATCCAGGCAGCCCTTGATTTTTAAAGTTTCCTGCTGATTGGCCCTAAAGAACACAAGACTATCGTCAGCAAAGAAAAAGGTGCGTGATGGTCGGGGCTCCCCGCGCCACTCGCACCCCATGAATCTCACCCCTTGCCTCCGCCTGCTGTAACAGAATCGACAACCCCTCAGCACACACAATGAATAGGTACGGAGATAAAGGATCTCCTTGCCTAATGCCCCGTGTGGGGTTAACCGTGCCTACGACCTCGCCATTAACCTGAATAGTGTATTTCACAGTAGTCACACACATCATCAGCAGTTCAATCCATACTACATCAAAACCCAACGCGTGTAACATCCCTTCCAAATATACCCACTCCATCCGGTCGTACGCTTTGGCCATGTCTAGCTTAAGCGCCGCCCACCCCATAGCCCCAATTGTTTTCCGTCTCAGATAATGCCCAATTTCCCCGGCCACGATTATATTATCCGTCAACAGCCTTTCAGGAACGAAAGCGCTTTGAGACGGTGACACAACCATTTCCAGGCTACCCTTAAGTCTGTTTGCCAACATCTTGGCTAGCACCTTATACACCACATTACAAAGTTCTATTGGGCGCAGGTCAGAAACTTTTTCCGGAATCTTCTTTTTTTGGCAAAAGAACGATGTTAGAATCGTTCAGTCCCTCTGGCAGACTTTTATTCTCCACACAGCGAAGAATGAACATGGCCAGGTCATGTCCCAACACCGGCCAGAAGTGTTGGTAGAAGGCCGACGTCATGCCGTCAGGCCCTGGAGCCTTCTCCGGGGCCATAGAAAATAGGGCCGCCTTAATCTCTACGACGGTAAACGGCTGTAACAAAGAGATATTCATCTCATCCGTTACCCGTCTCCGAACGCGACTAAAGAGATCCGGACTACTTGTACTGGACGAAAAAATACATTCATAATACCTTAGGATTTCATCATTCATATCAGTGCCTTCTTTCCAGACCCCACCCGGGTCTTTGACGCGCAGTAACAAATTACGGCGACGTCGAGCCGAGGCGGCCTTATGAAAGTAGCTTGTATTTGCGTCACCATTGGAGCCAAAGCTGCTTAGAGCGTTGCTTCCAGAAAATCTCTTCCTGATGTGTCAGAACTTCTAGCTCCCCCTCGACAGCCAGAAATTCCTCAATTGCTTGGGGTGCACGATCCTCCTGTAACTTGTCTAACCGGTGGCGCAACTCGCTGATTCGATTCCCAAAGTGTCTGAAGTGTTCACCACCCCACCTGGATAGCCGCTTCCCACACAGAGCTATACGGTCCTGGAACGCCAAACCTGCCGATTGGCGCCATGCATCGTCTACTAACTTCGAGCAACCCTCCTCAAGGAGCCATGCAGATTCGAACTTAAAAGACCGCTTGGCCGCCCTTATAGGACTTAGCTCATTGTCGACATAAATAGCACTGTGATCAGATTGTCGCGTGTTTACCTTCCGTACTACCGTCTCCTCGTACAGCTCCACCCATTCCACCGTTGCCATCGCTCTATCCAACCTTTCCTCCACCCACGACTCCGTCCCCCTACCCCGATAAATTAGTCACTTAATTACACATGAAATTATAATTACATCAGTTAATTTTAAAAAATACAATTAACTCTCTAAACAATTCAAATTAAAAGTGACCTAAACTCTAAGTTGATTATTACTTATTACTTACTAACATGGCGGTTGATATTTAAAAATTATTATTAAATTTATTTTAATAATTTTAAATAGAGAAAATGTAATTTATACCCCTCCCTAATATGTCAATTATTAATATGACTCATGAATTATATTATTACTTGTGTAAATGTTGTCCCTCAATTTTCAAAACGATACATATATTCTCACTCCCGTATTGTAAATGTTGCCCCTCAATTTTCCTCTCATAAGGTACGGGAGGGGCAATATATGTACCGTTTTAAAAATTGAGGGGCAACATTTACACAACTAATTAATAATTCATGAGTGACATTGATAATTGACTTATTATGAAGAGTCATAAATTACAATTTTCCTTTTTAAGTTTAAATATTAAAATTACAATTATTAATATCAAGATGATGGAAGGCATGATTGAATGACAAGTAAATTTGTGTCAAAACTATAATGCAATACAGTTGTTATTTGGAATATACCTACATTTTTTAGATTGATTGTTCACTTTAGATATAAACTTGTACCACTAGAACATATTTAATAGCTCCCAAAATTTACTTAACCATGCAATTTAGATAAGAAATAGAAGAAGATACACGATGAGAGGGAGAGCTGATCAAACAAATGAAACATCAATTTTATGTTAGAAAAAAGAAGGTTAATATTTTTTTTTTCTTCTCAAAAAATACGAAATTGAAAATACCAAGGGAAGCATGAGATTCTAATTCTGTGAAAATGAGAGAATTTCAATTCGAGAAATTGTATTTCCCTTCAACCAAAAGAAATTTGTTTGCCTTTGAAATTAGGTAGGAGTAAAATTTTAATTCCCTCCAACCAAACAGGTTGTTAAGGATGAGGGTGAGAATCACTTAGTATACCACCATTGCACAACTGCACCTTCACTACTGCACCACTCCAAACATCTCAACTGTATGATCTCTCATTTAAACGGTAGATAGGAGTTCACCAATTCACACCAAACAATACACAGGTTCTCACCTGAAACCGACTATATATATATATATATATATATATATATATATATATATATATATATATATATAATTTATTTATTTAGACACACTATATAACCCTTCAATAATTGATGCAAGAATATTTATTCATACACTATATATTGACCTTTTGGACTTTTGATCCCAGCTTATTGGCAAAAAAATAAAGCTACAACTACACAAATGTCGTATAGACAATGCGGCACAGCTTTAGTTTCTTTATATATTTTATTTTATTTTATTTTTTTTGGTGCAAAGCTTTAGTTTCTATTGATATATCTGCAATCTATATGTTAGAAATAATTATTTCCTAACAATGATTTATATAATAAAGGTTGTAATTCCATAAGGTACTCATGTTGATGATTAGTGATGTGTAAAGGCGGGATTACTGGGTGAAATTCCCTCTCTCTCATTCTGTTAAAATTTAAGTTTATAAGGGTTAAAAGATGTATAATGGATAAGGTTATGGGTTTCACAATCCTAAAGGGATTTCTATTCCTAAAAGGAGGTCACATTCCTAAAGGGATTTCTATTCCTAAAGGAGGTTCCCCATTCCTCTTGAAAGAGGGTTTCTCATCACATCTATAAATACCCAGGAAAACTCTAGGGATCTTAACGGTTTCAAATCTCTAAGTCTTCTAGTCTCCGTATCATCAGGAGGTGAATGAGGTATACGGATCAGAGAGGTGAAACATTATATTCTTGATTCATGCATTCAATTTAGAGATTACATCTTCAATGGAACCAAGTAAGTCCTATCTTTCCTATTTAATTAAAAGTCTATGATCATGAACATTGTTTAGTTGATTGATTTGATTTACATGCGATCATTGTTAATTGTGCTTCCGCATTTAAGTTATAGCGCATAAAGGATTATTTAATATTTGGTATCAGAGTCTGCTTGTAAATTGATTAATCACTAAAATTAGGGTTCATGATATTTGGGGATTTTTTAATTATAAGGTTTATTTGATTATGGGTTGTTGATTATTATCCATGTCAAGTGTTCTCGTAACTGTACACATATAATTATGGAATTAATATTATACGTGTGTATGTACATGTGATTGTACAGTTCGTTGTTGATGGGTACGTATAGTACTGCCTTGTTTCTGTTAAAACCCATTCGTATACATACTGTCTGTATGAAATTGTTAATGGAATCAAAATCAATTTGTTGATTTGGAATCAAATGTCTGGGAATCTGGAATTAATGTGCAATGTATTGTTCTCTGGGAAGTAACTCATATGCATATATGTATGTGAATGTTGTTTTGGAATTGAATCAAATGGATCAACATATATAAGTATATACGTACTATATGTTGATTGGCAATGTTTGGCATCAAGCTATGTATGTACAATTCAAGGCTATGTACGTACTGTTCAGACATGTAATGCAATTTTGTTTTCTTCCAAGCATCACATATATGTCATACGTGTATGTATATACTGTAATATATATATGTTTTTGGAATTGAATCATATGGAATCATGTTAGTTGTACTGTGTTCGTACGGTATATGATTCATATGTTATATGGTTTGTCTCTATCAAATCATGAATTATATGTTATAAGAGAACGACATATAAATTAAGGTTTATTTTGTTTGGACAATTAAATTGAGTCTATTTGGGTTTATTTAAAGTATTATGGAGTCACTTTAAATTTTAGGCTCATTTAATTTGTGTTTATATTTGAGTCTATTTGGGTTTATTTAAAGTATTATGGAGTCACTTTAAATTTTAGGCTCATTTAATTTGTGTTTATATTTGAGTCTATTTGGGTTATTTAAAGTATTATGGATTTGCTTTAAATTCTAGGCTCATTTAATTTGGGTTTATATTTGAGCTGTTTGGTTTATTTAAGGCATTAAGGACTTGCTTTAAATTATAAGCTCATTTGGGATCAATTATGGTTGGAGGTTATATCCACTATTAGTTTATATATATGTTTATAAATGAATTATTAGCATAAAGCGAGTGCGTTAGTCGCCAAAGCGGCCCACTAAAGGTAATAGCTAATAATCATTTATGTTTATGTTTACAACATATATATAAATCAAGGTTTACTTACATAAATGAGTTATTAGCATAAGGCAAGTGCGTTAGTCGCCAAAGCGGCCCACTCATGATGATAGCTAAATGATCATTTATGTTTATGTTTGCAACATAAATTAAAGTTTATTCACATAAATAAATTATTAGCATAAGGCGAGTGTGTTAGTCACCAAAGTGGCCCACTCAAGGAAATAGCTAAATGATTATTTATGTTTACAAATGTTTATCGTACACAAGTATTTTGCATCGTTGAATGACACTAAAGGATTGATAAACATTTGTGATCATTAACACATGGTTCTAGCGGTTGCCCAAAGGTAGATCAGACATGTGATTAATGACAATTTAGGAGATTATGATTCTTGTTTTGTTAATATGTAGTGCATGTCCAAAGATGGCCTATATATTAAATTGAAACTTGATGAATAGTCTCATTCAAGTATGTGTGAATGATGCATGTCGGTAAATTGACATTGTATTTAAATTTGACCCAAAGGCGGATTTAAATGCAAACTTAAGGTCTATAAATTATAGTCTGAATAAAGGTTTGTTACTCAAAGCAATTGATATGTGAGATAAATGTTCGCAGTGAACACTATAATATCACGCTATAATGGTGACAGTTTTAATGTCAGTGGTAATAGCAGCAAGTTTAAAAAAGAAGGTCAAGCATCCTATGAAGGTGCAAGGTAATGTTCAGAAAGTGCAGAAATGCTATTTCCGTAACAAACCTGGGCACAAGAAGGCTGAATGCCTGAAGAGGAAAGCTTGGATGGAATGAAAAGTATACACTCAGTTTAAGTATGCTTTGAATCCAATCTTGAATCCAATGCTATTTCCGTAACAAACCTGGGCACATTAAGTAAGATTTTTTATGTTTCAACCTCATAGGGAAAATGAAAAGTGTCTTTTCATGGGAACATCATGAAAGCTAGAATTAAAGGTATTGGAACTTACAAAATTAAGCTGGATACAGGTTTTTGCCTTGATCTTGAGAATTGTCTGTATGTTCCAAATTGTTCTAGAAATCTTGTTTCAACAGCTAGGTTGGAAACATTGGGTTTTTACTTTAAGAACGGAGACAAATGTTCGTATCAACAAAACCCTTTATGGTTCTGGTGTTTTGTTGGATACACTATACTGTTTCAATCTTAATGATGTCTTTGTTAATTCCTTGTTTAATGTGATGTTTGTGTTAAAAGGAGTGCGCCAAAAGAATCTTCCACTGATTTGTGGCATAAAAGGCTTAGTCAGATATCCAAAGAAAGGATATTGAGACTTATTAAGGATATTGAGACTTATTAAAGTTGGAATTTTGTCTCAATTGGATTTTATTGACTGGAATGGTGCATGTGTCGATTGCATAAAGGTAAAGCAAGTCAGACATGTATCAGTACACTCAGCCACAAGAAGCTCATGATTACTTGATTTAATACATACAGATATCTGTGGTATTTTTAGGATGTTCCGTCTTAGGGCGGTGATAAATACTTTATTACCTTTATTGATGATCATTCTGGGTACTATTACATCTATTTACTGCGTGAAAGATCTCAGTCTGTGGATGTCCTAGAGACATTCATATTTGAAGTTGAGAGTCAGCTAAATAGAAAGGTAAAGACAATTAGATCATATAAAGGTGATGAGTATTATGGGAAAACATCAAAAGTTGGGCAAATTCTTGACCCATTTAAAGAAATTCCTCGAATCTAAGGGCATTTTGTGCATAATACACAATGCTAGGCACACCACATCAAAATGGTGTGAAAGAAAGGTGAAATCGTACTCTAAGGGATATGGTTATGAGTAAGGTCAATAACTGTACATTGCTTGTTTCATTGTGGATATATGCATTAAAGACAACAACATACTTACTCAATAGGGTTCCTAGTAAGGTTGTTTTTATTTTTTTATTTTTTTATTTTTTTATTTTTTTATTTATTTTAAAAAACACCTTATGAACTGTGGACAAGAAGGAAACCTAGTTTGAGGCATCTTCACATTTAGGGCTGTCAAGCTGGAGTGATGATATATAATCCACATGAAAATAAATTGGAATCCAGAACCATTAGTGGTTATTTCATTGGATATCCAGAAAGGTCTAAAGGGTACATGTTTATTGTCCTAATCATAAGTACGAGGATTGTTGAGTCTGGTGATGCTCGCTTCATTTAAAATGGCGAAGTCAGTGGGAGTGTGGGAGCTCGTAATGTTGAGATTAAGGAGTCATTAATGGTTCCAGATTCATCAAGTGATCTTTTTTCCTGTTGTTGTTTCTATTGCTGCAGTGCAGTGTAGCCTTATGGAAATACTTTGGAACAACAACAACTAGATGCTCAAATTCCACATGAGGAAGCTATTGTAAATGAAGATGAGGTTGAAACTCAAGATGATGATCAAGTGAAATCTCAGCAGGAAGTGGCATTAAGGAGATCTACTAGATAGAAAAGATCAGCCATTCATTGTTTATGCACTTGAGCATGAAAGTGACTTGAGCATTGATAATTATCCAGTCTCATTTAACCAAGCCATACATGATAATAATTCTCTTTGAGAATTATTTTGGTTTTGGTGGCTCATTCTGTTCTTGAGCTCCACCAAATGGTTGTTAAAATTGCCTTTCTGAATGGTAAATTAAAAGAGGAAGTATACATGGATTAGCCGCAAGGCTTCATGGCCACAGGAAAGGAAAATCTGGTATGTAGATTGAAGATGTCGATCTATGGATTAAAACATGCTTCTAGACAATGGTACTTGAAATTGTCATTTGGTTTTGTAGAGATCACTGTTGATCGGTGTATCCACATAAAGGTTTAATGGAAGCAAGTTTGTAATCCTAGTATTACATGTTGACGACATTCTTCTTGCTGCTAATAATAAAAAGGATGTTGCGTGATGTTAAGGAATATCTTTCTAAGAACTTTGAAATGAAGGATATGGGTGAGACTTCATATGTGATTGGAATAAGAAATATTCTGTGATAGATCACATGGGATTTTAGGTTTATCCTAGAAGACTCACATTAACAAAGTTTTAGAAAGATATAAACTGGAAACCTGCAAAAGAGGGTCATGTGATACTTACAAGGCACTAAGGACCACATGCTCACCTATAAAAGGAACGAATAACCTGAAGGTTATAGGTTATTCGGATTCAGACTATGCCGGATGTTTGGATACCCGAAAATCCACATTCGAATATCTTTTTCCACTTGCTCATGGAGCAATATCTTGGATGAGTGTGAAGGAGCCTGTCATTGCTACTTCCACTATAAAGGCAGAATTTGTAGCATGCTTTGAGGCTACAATTCAATAATATATCATGGTTGCGTAATTTCATTTATGGTTTGGGCATTGTCGACACTATAGCCAAACCATTGAGGATTCATTATGATAATACAGCAGCTATGTTTTTCTCAAAGAACGACAGATATACTAGCGGTGCCAAGCACATGGATTTGAAATTTCTGTCTGTTAAGGAGAAGGTACAAAATCAAAAGAGTATCAATAGTGCATATTGGCACCGATTTTATGATCACGGATCCGTTGACTAAGGGATTGGCGCCCATGACCTTCATTGGCCATGTTGGGAGGATGGGCATACTGGTAAAGTCCTTGTATAACGGTTAACTCTGCCATACATGTATGGATTTATGTTTGATAGCACATCAGGTTGATGATACTCTTAGATATCTATTCAGGTTTTGATTTTGTTATGGTTGATGTTGATCACTTACTTATGCATAATTCAGAAGTGATAACAATGGTCTTGTTTAAGACATAAGGAATAAGGTACTTTCGGATTTTACCTTATTGTTATGGTTCGAATTCTTATTAACTGTGATACATGGAAGGGAGCGGGACGCTATGTCAGGCCTGTAACCGCCATGATTCGGTTAATAAAGTTCGATAAGGTGGTGACTTTTACATTTTCATATTAAGTGAGCTCAAATTAAGGATTGAAAATTGTAAAGTCACGCATATATGAATCAAGTGGGAGATTGTTAGAAATAATTTATTCCTAACGTTGATTCATATAATTAAGGTGTCATGCTCATATGAATCAGTGGGAGACTGTTAGAAACAATTATTTCCTAACAATGATTTATATAATAAAGGTTGTAATTCCATAAGGTACTCACGTTGATGATTAGTGATGTGTAAAGGCGGAATTACTGGGTGAAATTCCCTCCCTCTCATTCTGTTAAAATTTAAGTTTATAAGGGTTAAAAGATGTATAATGGATAAGGTTATGGGTTTCACAATCCTAAAGGGATTTCTATTCCTAAAAGGAGGTCACATTCCTAAAGGGATTTCTATTCCTAAAGGAGGTTCCCCATTCCTCTTGAAAGATGGTTTCTCATCACATCTATAAATACCCAGGAAAACTCTAGGGATCTTAACGGTTTCAAATCTCTAAGTCTTCTAGTTTCCGTATCATCAGGAGGTGAATAAGGTATACGGATCAGAGAGGTGAAGCATTATATTCTTGATTCATTCAATTTAGAGATTACATCTTCAATGGAACCAAGTAAGTCCTATCTTTCCTATTTAATTAAAAGTCTATGATCATGAACATTATATTGTTTAGTTGATTGATTTGATTTACATGCGATCATTGTTAATTGTGCTTCCGCATTTAAGTTACAGCGCATAAATGATTATTTAACACTATACTATTATGCACTCAGCTCCTAAGTGAATAGTGTTTCTTTGATGATGTAAAGAATCACTAGACTGAGAATCAAAGTGTTATACACTCCAAAGTGAAGCTCACGTTGAAACGTCTATATAATTAATTAAGTTGCTTTCAAATTTAGTGTATATAACTTTTTTGATCCAAATATAATTGCGGGCAGCCGTGGAAGACTGGTTTTTCGAGTCTTCTTACAACCCTTTTGACGCTACAAATTAATCATACAAGTCTTCTCTGAAATCAATTGTGGAACACTGTACTGGTCTTAATTTGTGTGTTCTTATAACTCAGCTCTTTCACAGTATGTAGTGCATGCAAATTAATTATACCGTGAACTCTCATTCATTTGAATTTATTGAATATTACATAAATTTCTATTATTGCCTAAACAAGTATTGTAAATGCCACTCAAGTTTATAGATAGTACTGATATTTGGCTCCATTTATTTTGGGATTATTGTTACATGCCATTATTTATTATATTCAACTTTTAGGAATTAATTTAATATTTTTTTATTGTGTATTTATTAGTTAATTAATTATAAGAATAATCTATAATGCTACATTATATTCATCCTTATATTTTTCTTCCAATCTTTCCTTCTTAATGTGACATTATTTAATTGGACAACTAAATTTCTTTTTAAACATTTAAATTTACTATGCCAAGAATTAATGTTTTTGTCTTTGAAAGTTACGTTTTAAGTGTAGCTCACATCTTAATTCATCTTCCCCACAATAATCATATTCTTGCAATTTTTTTTTTTTAATAATTTAATAACCTAATTGCTTTTTTTGTTTATAGTAAGTTTATTGAACCATTTTCCTAATATTTTTTTAAACAATATATAATATTTTTCAATGAGAAATGTAATACTTTGAAAACAAAGCATATAATGTTTTTTTTTTTAAAAAAAAAAATACTTTTTTAAGAAATATATAATATTTTTCAATATAAGTGTAATTGAAAAAATGTAAAATTATTAGACAAATATATGATGCATCAAAATTTTCACTCTCATGATCACCATCATATTATTCAAAACATAAATTTTTACGTCTATATAATATTTGTGAATGACCTTGATTTAGTGACACGAAGTGACTCGCCCAAATGAAAAAAATGCACACAAATTAAACATCTATATATACTCCCATGTCTTTGCTCCCAGTACCATTATTATTTCTACTTTGTGTCATCCATCCTTTCCCAATGGCAAATCCCCCATATATAATACTCCTACTGCTTACTATACTCTTTTCCATTCATCCAATTTCATCTTCCCATTTCCATGCTAGAAAGTCGGCCAATTCATCATTGCCTGCAAATAATCTGCAAATAGCAAATGAAGAAGTGGCATCTCTGTTGACGTGGAAGTCCAGCCTTGACCTCAAAAGCCAAAACCTATTGGCATCATGGGTGGTTGGTCGCAGCCACTGCAACTGGATTGGAATTCACTGCAATACTAATGAAAGCGTTACAGGCTTGAACCTTACTGGATACGGCTTACGAGGTACGCTTAGGGGACTAAATTTTTCATCCTTGGCCTATTTAGAAATTATTGATCTTTCCTCAAACACTCTCATTGGTCAAATCCCTCCAGAAATAGGGAACTTGTCAATGTTGGTAAATTTATCTCTGGATGAAAATCAACTCTATGGATCCATTCCTAAGGAAATAGGAAACTTGAAATCTCTTCAAGTGTTAGAGTTGTCTTCAAATAACCTTAGTGGGCAAATCCCTATCTCAATTGTAAACTTGCAAAACTTAAAAGTGTTGTCTCTTTTGAGTAACAATCTGTCAGGCCAGATCCCTCAAGAAATAGGGAACTTGTCAAAATTGAAATATTTATCTTTACATGGAAATAAGTTCTATGGATCAATCCCTAAAGAGTTGGGGAAATTGAAATCTCTTCAAGGGTTATGGTTATATTCAAATAACCTTAGTGGTCAAATTCCTGCTTCAATTGGGAACTTGCAAAACTTAACATGGCTAGATCTTTCACAAAACAATCTTTCAGGCAACATTCCTTCAAAAATAGGGAACTTGTCAGAGTTGATAACTTTATACCTAGAGATGAATCAACTATATGGATCCATCCCTAAAGAGTTGGGGAAATTGAAATCTCTTCAATGGTTATGGTTATATTCAAATAACCTTAGTGGTCAAATTCCTGCTTCAATTGGGAACTTGCAAAACTTAACATGGCTAGATCTTTCACAAAACAATCTTTCAGGCAACATTCCTTCAAAAATAGGGAACTTGCAAAACTTAACATGGCTAGATCTTTCACAAAACAATCTTTCAGGCAACATTCCTTCAAAAATAGGGAACTTGTCAGAGTTGATAACTTTATACCTATGGGAAAATCAACTCTATGGATCCATTCCTAAGGAGTTGGGGAAATTGAAATCTCTTCAAAATCTAGGTCTAGATGAGAATCAGTTCAACGGATCTATCCCTAAGGAGTTGGGGAAATTAAAATCTCTTCAGGTGCTTGGGCTATCTTTTAATAATCTCAATGGCAAAATTCCATCTGAGTTTGATAATATCACTCATTTAAGGGTATTTAATCTTGGCCAAAATCATTTCACGGGTTCTTTGCCAAATAATTTATGTCTTGGCCAGTCACTAGAAATTATAACTATTCCTCACAACAAATTTAGTGGAAACATTCCCAAAAGCTTGATGAACTGTACAACACTTTACAGAGTTAGGCTTGATAGAAATGACTTCTCTGGAGATGTATCAAAAGCTTTTGGGGTATATCCAACTCTAAATTACATAGATTTGAGTTACAATAACTTTTCTGGCCAACTGTCTTCAAATTGGGCTCTTTGTCCAAATCTTACTGCATTGAAGATTGCGGGCAATAAAATTCTTGGAAATATCCCACTTGATCTCGGCAATGCACCTCTACTGCAGTATCTTGATCTCTCATCAAATCAGTTGGTTGGAAGGATTCCCACAAGTTTGGGAAAGTTGAGCAAGTTATATGTGCTAAATTTAGATAATAACAAACTTACTGGCAACATACCACTAGAAGTTGGAGAACTATCTTTGCTTTCAGAGCTAAACTTAGCTTCTAATAAGTTTGTTGACTCAATTCCCCGACAAATTGGAAGATGCCAACGACTAATTACATTGAATCTGAGCAGGAATATGCTTGTGGGCAAGATTCCTCCTGATATGCTAAGCTTGAAATCCCTTGAAAATCTTGATCTCAGTCACAACATGCTCTCTTCTCAGATACCACCACAAGTTGGAGGATTAACAAACTTACAGACATTGGACTTATCACACAATAATCTGTCAGCCTCCATTCCATCAAGCATTGTTCAATGTGTAGCTTTAGTTTCTGTTTATATATCTTACAATCACTTGGAAGGTCCTATCCCTAACACCAAAGCATTTTTACAAGCACCATATTCCGCCTTAAGTAATAACAAAGGTTTATGTGGCAATCATTCCGGCTTAAAGCCTTGCTCCTTGCTCAGCCAAAGTGACGGCAAAAACAGAAATTTGGTTGTAATCATATCGGTAGTCTTGGGAAGTTTTTTTCTATTGACGGTGGTTATTATCATTTTTGTTATTTTTCCACGTCAGAAGAGAAATAGAGTGGAGGAGGAAAGAGATTTTACTAAAGATCTGTTCACATTATGGAGCTTTGATGGAAAGATGACGTATGAAAGCATCATTGAAGCAACAGGGAACTTCGACTCCAGTTATTGCATTGGTGTAGGAGGGCATGGAAGTGTGTATAGGGCCGAGCTAGCTAGTGGTCTGATTGTTGCCGTGAAGAAGTTTCACACATTAGACCTGCAAGATGATGAAAGGTGGCATGATCTCAGAAGTTTTTCAAATGAGATAAGCGCATTAACAAATTTGAGGCATCGAAATATTGTGAAGCTCTATGGCTTTTGTGCTCACAATAGACATTCATTCTTGATTTGTGAGTATTTACAAGGGGGGAGTCTAGCACAAATTTTGAGTGATGATGAGAAAGCACTCCAGTTGGGATGGTTGGAAAGGATAAATGTGGTCAAAGCTGTGGCTAAAGCTTTATCGTACATGCACCATGATTGTTTACCTCCTATTATTCATCGGGACATATCAAGCAAAAATATTCTGTTCAATTCTGAGCATGAAGCTCATGTATCCGATTTCGGGACAGCAAGATTTTTGAGCCTTGATTCATCAAATTGGACTTCAATTGCTGGAACCATGGGATATACAGCTCCAGGTCTGCACCATTATATCTTTTTTCTTGTTATTCTCTTTCCCTTTTGACCTTAGATATGCTCTAATATATTTGATATTTATTTGCAGAGTTTGCTTACACTGCAGAGGTAAACTGCAAATGTGATGTGTATAGCTTTGGAGTGGTAACACTTGAAGTGATTATGGGGAAACATCCTGGAGACCTCATTACATGCCTTTCTTCATCCTCGTTTTCAACAATTGAGGGCATGCTTTTTAAGGATCTATTAGATCCTCGACTACCTACTCCACAAAGAAATGTCACACAACAACTCGTGTTGGTTGCAAAGACAGCAGTATCTTGTATGAATTCCAATCCACAATATCGGCCAACTATGCAACAAGTTTCTATGTTGCTATCCAAGGAAAGGGATTTTCCCAAATTTTCCCCTGATATCACCTTAAGCCAGTTGTTTGGTCTTGAATTTCCAAATTCATAAATTTTTGCACTGTTCAAGGTAAGTTCATACTAAACTGTCATTTTATCCCTATCTATTTGAGTTATATATAGGGCTTAGCAGCCTACATTTGTTGCTTTTGTCTAAAACTATGGCTATTTATTGGACATTGCAGTTTGGAACAATAATGTCTGTGGTTTTAAGATGAGTACGTAGATCGATCAAAAACAAATGGTAACCAACTGCCAGTCAAACAAGGTCGCATTCAATTCGCAATGCCCTCTCATGTTGATTATAGAATCTAATAATATTAATTAGTTATTTCTTGATTTCTGAGTTTTTGCTCATCTCTTGCATGTCTATAATGTATTTGCTTTTACAGATTGACAATGGACATCGCTAAGATGGATGCAGGAGATGCATCATTCACTGCACTGTTGTTTTCAAGTTTCTCTGTTGCTTCTATATCCAACGAAAGAGATCACAATAAGGCAGGCAGTTGAATTGCTTCGTTTGAAATTTCCTGCTATACTCCATGAATTTTACACCATTGAAAGTAAGTTATCTTAAACAAGTTTTATCACTATCTATCTATGCTATTTGTGATATGTGAATGCTTATGAATTGTGATTATGGTTATTAGTTTTACTTAATTAAAGATATGTTTTGAATAAACAAAATGCAATTAAAAGGTTGTTGATCTGGTGGACTAGTTTGGTTGTGTTATAGAATATTGGGAGAATATTCTCTGTGATTGACTATCCCATATTTTAGGGATCTAAATATCTGCTTACCATATCAGTTCAGACTCTTCTTATATTTAAGAAGTAGTTGACTAGCTCTATAGACACACAGAATGAGAGAGAGCTACAGAGGTAACTCACTGCTTTAACATGGTAACAGAGCCAGGGCAATAAAAATTTTTTTTTCCGGCGTCTCCTGTTCTCACCGCCGGTCCACCGCCACTCGCCGTCGTCCGGCGACCTTGCCTGGAAATTTTCAGGCCAAGACGACCTGCGCGTGACCCTCACGCGCCACCGACAGCCGCCGCCGGCGCCGCCACACGCCGGCGCCTGAGGGCTCTCCGGCGACCGGAAATTTTTCCGGCCGGTCTTTCCAGGGTCGCCTGAGTTCGGGGATCTCGGTTCCGGGCTCAGTTTGGACCAGTTTTGCGTTGGTCTTTTCGATTCTACAGTCAGGTTGTTTCGTTACCATTCGGCTCCGTTTTTTTTTTTTTGTGTTTTCTGCTCTGTTTGTGGTCCTAAATTTGTGGGTATGGCTGGGAATACGTCTGTGGTTGTCACTGATATAGTTCCTGTTAATTCTAAAATCACGGATTGTAAGCTTAATGACTCTAATTAATTGGAATGGATTCACGTCATTAAGCTTTATCTTACTAGTTTGGATAAAAGTGACCACTTGTCTAAACCTTTGGCTGACCAAGATTCTACTTGGGTACGGGATGATGCCCGTTTGTTCCTACAAATTCGTAATTCCATTGATGAGGGTATTGTTGGGTTCATTAGTCATTGTGCCTCTGTTAAAGAGTTGATGGAGTATTTGGAATACTTACACGCTGGGAAAGGGAATATTACTCGTGTTTATGATGTTTGTAAGTCCTTTTTCTGTGCTGAAAAACATGATTTGTCTCTCCCTACATACTTTATGGAATTTAAGAAGACTTATGAGGCACTTAATCAGCTTATGCCATTCACCGCTGACATTAAAGAGCAGCAAAACCAACGTGAACAATTGGCTGTTCTGAGTTTTTTGGCAGGTCTCCCTTCTGAGTTTGACACGGCGAGGTCTGCAATTCTTAGTAGCTCTGCCATCCCTTCTCTTGCTAATGTTTTTCCACGTCTGAGTCGGTCGGTGCAATCGCAACCAAGTGTGCCTGAGGCTACCATCCCATCCAACAATGCTCTCGTTGGCCGTCATCCTCGCAGTGGGAATGGAAAAAATTCCCAGGGATACACTTCTGGTGGTATTGTGTGTCACTATTGCCATAAGCCTGGCCACATAAAACGGGACTGTAGGAGATGGTTGAGGGAGCGAGGAAATCCGACTGCTAATGCTGCATCCACACCTGAGGCATCTTCCAAGTTGATCACTGTATCTGCCGACGAGTTTGCCAAGTTCTCTCAGTATCAAGAATCTTTAAAGCGTTCATCCTCTTCAGTCACTGCTATTGCTGACTCAGGTAATGCAACTACGTGCCTTCTCTCATCCTCCTCCAAGTGGGTGATAGACTCGGGTGCCACGGATCATATGACAGGTAACTCTAGTTTGTTTTCCACGCTTTCTTCTCGCCCACATAGTTCCCCCGTTACCTTAGCAGATGGTTCTGCCTCTCATGTTCTTGGGTCCGGTTCCATTACGCCCATCCCTTCGCTCCCCTTGTCTTCTGTCTTGCATCTACCTAATTTTTCATTCAACTTAATTTCGGTCAGCCAACTTACCCGTACTTTAAACTGTTCTGTTACGTTCTTCCCTGATTATTGTCTGTTTCAGGATCTTTTGACGAAGAGGGTTATTGGTAAGGGGCACGAGTCTGGGGGCCTCTATGTTCTTGACGCCACGAAGCGGGAGCCGGTTGCTTGTTCGGGTGTTGTCACTCCAATAGAAGCTCATTGTCGTCTGGGGCATCCTTCCCTACCCTTGTTGAAGAAATTGTGTCCGCAGTTTTCAAGTTTGTCTTCTTTACATTGTGAGTCGTGTCAGTTGTCCAAGCACCATCGTGTGCCTTTGAGTCCTAGGGTTTACAAACGAGCGTCTTTTCCGTTTGAGTTAGTGCATTCTGATATTTGGGGTCGTGTTCTGTGACCTCTAAACTCGGTTTTAAATATTTTGTTACATTTGTTGATGATTTTTCTCGAATCACATGGTTATACCTACTGAAGTCTCGTTCTGAACTTTTTGAGGTGTTTTGTGGATTCTGCGTTGAAATTAAGACTCAATTTAATGTTCTTGTCAAAATTTTACGTAGTGACAATGCTAAAGAATATTTTTCGCTCCCTTTTGTCTCTTATATGCGTCAGAATGGTATGTTACATCAGTCCTCTTGTGTTGATACACCTTCTCAAAATGGGGTCGCTGAGTGCAAAAATCGGCATCTGCTTGAAACTGCAAGAGCCTTGATGTTTCAAATGGGGGTTCCCAAGCAGTTTTGGGCTGATGCCGTTTCCACAGCCTGTTTCTTGATCAATCGGATGCCCTCTGCGGTCTTGGGTGGGGAAACACCTTTCCACACTCTGTTTCCTTCAAAACCTTTGTTCCATGTTGACCCGCGTATATTTGGCTGTGTATGCTTCGTTCGGGATGTCCGTCCCCATGTCACCAAGTTAGATCCCAAGTCTTTGAAGTGTGTGTTTCTTGGATATTCCCGTGTGCAAAAAAGGTATAGGTGTTACTCTCCTGAGCTTGGAAGGTTTCTTGTTTCCATTGATGTTGCCTTTCATGAGGACGTCCCTTTCTTTCCTTCACCTCCAGAGGTTGTTCGTAAGGGGGAGGAGGAAGATATATTGGTGTATACGGTCACGGCGTCTGTTCCTACCCCTCCTGTCTTACATGTGTATTCTCGTCGACCTCGGCCTGACACACTCGTACCGGCACCGCCTCCCGCTCCCCTTCCAGATTCGGCTCCATGCCCTGACACCACCTCTGTGTCATCTGTTCCAGTCTTGGTTGATGAACGTCCGATTGCTACCCGGAAAGGTAAACGTAGTTGTACTTATCCTATATCCTCTGTTGCATCATATGATAGGCTGTCACCTGTCTCGTGTTCTTTCATTGCTTCCCTTGATTCTATATCCATTCCTAAGACTGTTAGGGACGCCTTGTCCCATCCTGGGTGGCGAAATGCCATGCTTGAAGAGATGAACGCTTTGGATCACAACGGTACTTGGGAGTTGGTCACTATGCCTGCAGGTAAAAGACCTATTGGTTGTAAATGGGTGTTTACTGTCAAAGTCAATTCTGATGGGTCTGTGGCTCGATTGAAAGCCCGTCTTGTGGCTAAAGGATATGCCCAAACTTATGGAGTTGATTATTCTGACACCTTTTCACCTGTGGCTAAGCTTACTTCTGTTAGGTTACTCATCTCAATGGCTGCCATTCATGATTGGCATTTGCATCAGCTTGATATCAAGAACGCATTTTTGCATGGGGATCTTCATGAAGAGGTGTACATGGAGCAACCTCCTGGGTTTGTTGCTCAGGGGGAGTCTGGGAAAGTATGTCGTCTTCGGCGATCGTTGTATGGGCTGAAACAAAGTCCACGTGCATGGTTTGGCAAGTTTAGTCAGGTTGTTGAGAATTTTGGGATGGTGAAAGGCAAATCGGATCATTCCATGTTCTACAAGTGGTCCAAAACAGGTATCATCTGGTTGGTGGTTTATGTAGATGACATTGTCATTACAGGGAACGACACCGAAGGGATTTTGTCTCTCAAGTCATTTCTTCATAGTCAATTCCAAACAAAAGATTTGGGACCACTGAAGTATTTCCTGGGTATCGAAGTTATGAGGAGCAAAACAGGCATATTACTATCTCAACGAAAATATGTTATTGACTTACTCTCTGAAACAGGAAAACTTGGGACTAAACCATGCAATACTCCCATGATACCGAACTTGCAATTGACAAAGGAGGGGGAATTGTTTGAAGATCCTGAGAGGTATAGGAGATTGGTTGGGAAGCTAAATTACTTGACCGTAACCCGTCCAGATATTGCATACCCGGTTAGCGTTTTGAGTCAGTACATGTCATCTCCGACTATTGATCACTGGGCAGCTGTAGAGCACATCTTGAGTTACTTAAAGGAAGCCCCGGGACACGGAATATTGTATAAGAATCATGGTCACACTCGGATTGAGTGTTTTACTGATGCAAATTGGGCAGGTTCCAAAGAGG